GGCGAGGCGGCCGCGGCCCTCGGTGGGATCCGAGAGGACAGATGAGCCCCCTTCTCTGGGAGGGGACCAGGGGCGCAGTGTCCCGAGCCTTGGAGGCGAGAGCGCCCTGGAGTCGCCGGGAGCCGGGGTGGACGCCTCCGCCCCCCAGATCTACTCGCGGAAGATTCGGTGGGTTGGGGGTCGGGGTCGCTCGGCCTAAGGCGCGTGGGGTGCGAACGGGGGCTGGAGGCCTGGGATGATGTCTGGAGCGTCCGATGGGTCAGCCCCAGTGACCACGCAGCGGGCGGTGGGAGGCTGCATTTTGTCATTGTACCTTCCCTCCGTTTGGCACAGTGCTGCAACAGCGGGTCTTCCGAACCCCCGCTGTGAGGTAGGGAGGGGGTGTGAGTGTGCTGGATCTGTCCAGGGAGGACTCCCAGACCTGGGCCAGCCAGTCTCACCGCATCCCTGCCCCCTTCCCGTTAGAGCCGGCAGCCAGTGCGGCCCGGGCCTCCGGACCCCGGCCTCCACTGGAGCTCTGGACAGCGTGCTCACCGCAGGCCAGTGGACAGGGTCTTCATCCACTAACTGGAGGCCAGCCGTGGCCCCATCACTTCTTCAGAGGGCGCCTCTGCTGTGCTCGTCCGTGCACCTTGTACCTGTGAGGTGCTGAAAAGCAGTTTGGGCGACAGGACAGCCTGTGACCTTTGACGTCCCATCAGCTCTTTCGTGGGCGAGGAGACTGAGACTCGGGAGAGGCCAAGGAAACTGCCCAGCTTGCCCTTGAGGCCAGGACGTTTGACTGGGCACTGCTCTACTGGCCTTTGGGTTCCACACGGGGGTCCCTGAACTCAGGACTTCTCCCTGCCTTCCAGAAACAATGACCCCTCGGAAAGAAGCCTTCTTGGCTTTTGAAACTAACTCCAAGGTCTCAGAGTACCCCAAATCCATCTCTCTGTGTTGCAGGCTCGCGCACTGGCAACGGGACGCCCAGCCGTCAGAGGGGCGTGAGTTCTGCGTCTGGGTGGAACACAGAATGGGCTGAACTGGAACCCACCCAACCGGCAGCCAAAGGAGGTAGAGTTCTGTGGGGTACCCCTCGCCAGTAGGTAGTGAGGGGGGTGCCGAGGCTTTCCGCAGGACGGCCCACCCACCCACGCAGCCCACGGGCCTGTCTCCGGGCTCCCCCCTCAGTGTTCCCTGCTCAGAGTTTCGGAGAAACTGCGAAATTTTTTTATGGAAAAAAGTTCCATATTTTTAAATCTGTCAACTAACTCAACATTCTGAAGAACGTACAGGGTAAGTGAACTGTGTGCGCAGGCCGCCCGGCCGCAGGTTGCCGGTGGGCAGCTTCTGGTCCACCCTTTGGAAGCACTGTCTTCCCAAACTGCCTTAAAGGCTGACTGGAGGGAAGGAATGGTGTTCTTCATGCAGCTTTTCTTTAAGAAAAAAAAAGAAAACCAACAACTTAGACATAGCCATCAGCTCTGCTGCCCGAAGAAGGGTTGACCTCATGACTCAATTCTTTATTTTATTTTATCACTTAGTGCTGGGGATTTAACGCAGGATGCTCTACCACTGAACTACACCCCAGCCCTATTTTTAAATTTTATTTTGACATAGGGTCTCACTAAATTGCCTTGGCCTTCAACTTGCAATCCTCCTGCCTCTGTCTCCTGAGTCACTGGGATTACAGGTGTGCATCACCACACCTGGTTAGATAGGACATAATACAATAATATTATCTTCAGTTATAACTGTGGGACCAACCGGAATATAGTGGATATATACTTTGAATATATACTTTTAAACATACATAAATGTGGGACATATATAATAATGCCCTGTGGTTTGCTTTTTCAATTTAACAATATAACTTGGAAGTCTTTCAAGTAATAGATGTTTTCATTCATTCTTTTTAATGGCAACATAGTATTTCATAGTATGGATTCATTACAATTTATTTAAACATTCCCTGTCCATGGACCCTTAGATTGTTTCCAACCCTGTCTTTGTATCATTATTGATCTATGTGCATGCAGAGAGTCTTTCCAGGTAGAAATTGTTCCTAGCAGTGAAATTGGCTGGTTGAAGAGAATGCACATTTAAACTATTATTTAAGCAGAGTTCACTTTATTTATTGATGTCTTAGAGATCGTGCAGAAAAAAATTTAATTAGTTAGCTTATTTAGTTTAGTACTTGTTTGGAGATAGTATATTTTAAAGGTACAACACTGAAAGTTCATGAAAGGTAATATCCCCCTCCCTCTCCTGTTCACCAGCCCTCTGTTTTCCTTTGGGGATACAATTAATCTTGCCAGATTTTGTTTATTCTTTCAGAGAGAATCCATGTACCTACAGGGGGGGGAAAGGATCTTTCATTTTTTTTCCCTCTTTCAATAATATAGACTTTTAGAAGCTTCATCTAGATCTTGGAGACTATGCCATATCAGTCATGTGCATTTTAAAGGCTGAGAGTCTCCCAAGTTTACTCTTTTTAAAAAACCTTGAATCAATTTATACTTTCTCTAATTGTTTGGTCAAATCATTTGTCTGTTTTTCTGTGAATTTCATGAATTTGTGAGGCTCTTTCTGCATTCTCACCTCTTGTTAGTAAATCAGGCATCTTGTTTCTGTCTTCAATTTACCTCTTGTACCTTTTATGGTGCAGAACTATTTACTTTTTATGATGTTAAATCGGTGTCATTTTTCTTTGTGGCTTTAAGTTTTCTGCTTGTTTAGGGAAGTCTCCTATTTCAGATTTCCCTATATCAAAGTTTCCCTGATCTGCTCTTCCTCTCTCTCCTGTCTCTGCTGTTCTGCATCTACAATATCCTGCACGACTTACTGCCTCTTTCCCTTCCTCTGTGGGTTTCCCTCTGCTCTGGGACTGCAGGTAGGTGGGGTTTGCGTCTGCCCATGGGCTTCTGTAGCCAGTCTGTTTTCTTGGGCTTCTTAGGGATGCACTCTCTGCTCTCCCCGGCACACAGAGCAGAAGCTAGGGTGGTGCGGGCTGGATGGCCCAGTGCACGTCCCAGGTAGCCCACGAGCAGCCACACTAGCACTTGGAGGCGGGGGGGGGGGCAGCAGAGGGGCAGGGTGTCCCCAGTGAGTACCTTCTGCAGGTGTGGGGAGTGGCATGCGTGATCAGGCTGAGCGGAACCTTCAGTCTGGCAAGAGTGGGGAGGACAGATTGAGTGGGGGCGGGAGTGAAGAAAAGGGGATAGAAACATCTGGTGCCGATGGCGGGGAGAGGGTGAGGCTCTGAGCTGGGTGATGGGTGAGCACGAAGTTGTGAGCTAGAATTTAGTGATGGCCTGGACATCTGTACGGGAATGGAACAGACCAGCGTTGGTTTGATTTTACCCATTTTCTCATTCAACACTGGAGAGTCTGCATGGAAATTCATGACTCAGAGGGGTTCGTTAGTCTACCCAAGGCCACACAGTCAGTAAGTGTCAGTCGGGGCCTTAGCTCTGCTGGGGTTACCTGGCAAGGCCGTCGAGGACACCCTAGCTGTCTGTCTGGAGAGTCTGGGTGGTTGGTGGTGCTTTTTCTAGGACAGACAAGAACATGGAGAAGAGCATATTGGGAAGGTAGAAGCAGAGATGCCGAATTCCGCTTTGTACAAGTCTCATTCCGGGTGCCCGGGTGGCACCTGGGAGGAGACATCTAGCAGGTGGGTGACTTGACTCTGGACGCTGGAGTGCTGCCCAGGATGTCGATGGCGAGTTTGGAGTCATTGGGGTTTAATGGGCTGAGTGAGGGAGCTCAGGAGACAGGAGGGATCTCATGCAAAAGGCCCCTTCCTCCTACAAGTGGAAGGAAAGCCAGTTCACAAGGACTTAAGCCAACAGGAAAGTCACTGGCTGTCACAGGGGCCCCACTACGCTTGGCTCCTGGTGGGCTCAGGGTTCAAGTGCTTTCCTCGGGACCCACGTTCTCACCTCTGTGTCGACCTTCCTAACGCTCCATGAGGTGGCCCCTGGCATTCGGGCTCCCCGAGAGGGCAAGGGGACCTGCAGGTGCCTGTCCGCTGGAACGTCTTCTCCCGGCCACCAGCAGTGGTCTGCTGGGTCCTTCCGCTCTGCCCCAGTGACAGGCAGTTGGATGAGGCTGATGTGGGGGCAGAGGTCATGTGTCCATGTCCACCGAGGCAGTGGGTGGGTGGAGTTGGGGCTCTCCAGAGGAAACGCGGGGCGAAGGCAGAGTGTGGGGTGGACAGCTGAGGAGGCTGCTCTTGGCCTCCTCTGAGGGTGAGCCGAGAAGACACAGTAAGATGGCAGGATGGTGGGGGTCAGGGAGACTGGGGAGGAGCTGGGGAGGGAGGGGGCTGGAGCAGGACCGGGACGCGGGAAGGGGGAGTCTCAGAGGGAGACCACAGCAGTTGGGGTGTCCCATGCTGCAGAGAGCCAGGAACGCCCCTTGGTTTGGTCTTTATTTGGAACCTGGCTAGGACCGCCTTCAGGGGCTCCTTCCCTGCCAGTCTTCCAAGTTGCCGTCACAGCTGGGGCGGCTGGTAAGGGCAGAGGTGTCTCGAGGCCACCAGGAAGCAAGGGCTTGGGCTGCAGTCAGGCCTGTGACTGTGGGGAGCGCATTACCCTCTTAGGCTTCCTTTTGTCTGGAGAGGGACCCGAGGAAGGAGCTACTGGAGGCCTCTCAGCTCTGAAACGCAGCACCTCTGGGAGGTTGCTGCATCTTGTCACCCCTTGCCACCGACCAAGCCTCCGCCTCTCGCTGGCCTCCTGGGTGCACGCCTCACCCAGCAGCAGTGTGAGCCCCTGATAGAGCAGAAGAGTGGCTTCCCGTCCCGCGGCCACGCGGCTGTGTGCCAGCCCCAGCGTCTGGGGAGTCTTCGGCTCTCCTCCAGCTCCCCCACTTTCTTGCTCGTTAGAGAGGCCACGTGCGCCCCGGCCTCGGGACCTTCACAGAGCTCTTTCTCAGCCTGAAGTCCCTTGCAGCATTTTCTGGTCCCCATCCCAATGTTGCCTCCTGAGAGCCTTCCCTGACTGCCCAGTCCCAACCCACCCACCCGTTCCCTCCCGGACCCTGTGCTGTAGGTGGGGTGGGTTCTCCCCTACAGTTCAGGTCTTAGAAGCTTGTTCCTGGTGTGGGGATGTTCAGGGGTGGGGTCCTCAGGGGTGCAGCCCCACAGGAAGTAGTGAGGACAGGGGGCCTGCCCCTGGAAGGCATAGTGTCCCTCAGTGGGACCCTGGTAGTTCCCTGGAGAGTGACCTGTCCCAGAGCTTCCACGTCATCTCTTCCTCTCGAATGTGCTTCTGCCAGGTGCCACCCACCATGACATGACACAGTCAGGGGCCCCAAATCAAAGTCAGTGCCGTGTTGTTTGGAATTTCCAGCCTCCAAAACTGCAAGCTAAAAACCTCTTTTCTTTATAAAGTACCCAGCTGCAGGTATTTCATTGTAGCCATAGAAAACAGGCTAATGCACCCTGTTTTATTTTCCTTCATAGCACCTGCTGACCTAGAATTATTCTGCATTTTTATTATTTGCTGCCTGCCGGAGTCCCCTCTCGTTAAATGTGAGCTTTGGCATGTCTTGCTCCAGGCTATGCCCCAGTTGTAGAGTGGAGCTGAGCAGAGAGTAGGGGTCAGTGAACATCGCTGGGGCCACTCAGTGAGGAATGAGAAGGGGAAGGCTAAACGGAAGATAAGAATATGGGAGGGTCCAGACACCAGTGGCAGTGGCTGCCACGAGGAGGGAGAGAGGGGACACCTGCCTTCCTCCTGCATCTGTCTCACCATGGCCATCAGAGAAGATGTATTTGGGAGAACTTCTCCTGTAAGCCATTTAAAAATGATATTCTAAATTATAGAAACGGGTGTGCGTTTGCTTGGCCGTGCGAGGGCGTGAACAGAACAGTTACTGGTCTGCCTGGTGGTGCGGGTGGTCTCCCGGCCTGCTCTCCACCTCTTGCCTCCCTGGGGCGGTGCCTTTGGTATGGAAGGACAGTGTGTTTCCCCCGTGTCCACCAAGGTTCACAGGGAGACATTTCCCCTGTAGTCTGGGCACCAGCGACACCTTGGGCTGCTCACCTTTGCCACGTGGGCTGTCCC